ATTTGCTCATCCCAAAGATGTCCTGTGGCAGCAGTTTTAAAAAATGTATATTTAAGGGGCCAAGCATCAATCTAGAAGTGAATAAAAAACTGTTGAGCTGCAGAAGTCAAGTTTCCTTTCTGGTGATTCACTTTGCTGGGTGTTCACTGAAAGGCCAGATGGGGCCTTCAGTCTGAAAAAAAAAACTCACACATATCTGTTATAATGCTTTTCAATCTAATTTTGACTCAGAGTTCAAATGTTAGCATGCATAGCAGTTAAAGAGCTGTGATGAAGTGAGATTTGCAGATAGAGAAATTATAAGAATGATTTCTTGTTATTTTTCCTGAAAAAAGAAGAAATTCATAGGGGTTTTGTGTCTGTTTGTGTGTGCGTGTGTGTGTGTGTGTGTGTGTGTGTGTGTGTGTGTATTTGTGCCCATGGCAAGATTCCCTTTTAACAATAATGAAAGGACTACTACTATTAATGAGACAGGCATATTATTGAAAGGGCATGCAAACCCTTTGCCAGACCAATTCTTGAATACAGCTCGTCTGCCTGGAATCCACACTGCATATCGGACATTAATATGGTTGAGTGGGTTCAGAGGTACTTCACAAGAAGAGTACTCCACTCCTGTACTCACAATGGAACTCCCTAAGCCACCAGGCTCCAAATTTTGGACAATATGGATCTGCGCTGCCTGCTGTATGATCTAAGCACAGTTCGCAAAATTGTCTGTTACAACGTCTTCTTCAGCTTCAACCTCAATAATACACAGGCAAACAATCAATACAATTCAAAGTAAACTGTTCCAAACTCGTTTGCAGAAAACACGACTTCAGCAACACAGTGGTCCATTCCTGGAATGCTCTACCTGACTCCGTTGTTACATCCTCTAGTCCTCACAGCTTCAACCTTAAACTGTCTACTGTGGACCTTGCCCCATTCCTAAGATGTCTGTAAAGGGGGTGTGCATAAGCTCACCAGCGTGCCTACCATCCCTGTTCTACTGTCCCCATTTATTTATATTCATTTCTTTCATTCATGTCCATGTTTAGATTTATACCTGCTATCTTGTACATGTTTGACAAATTAATAAATACAAAATACAAATACAGACTAACGGAGGAGTTCCCTCTGATGCCTTTTCTTGGATTTACAATAAGTGACGTAGACTTGCCAGTCAAGTTATAGATTGCTGGAAAGATGATTCTACATTAAAAGATAAGCTATTGACTCCTGGGTCAGCCAAATGCTGTGAACATGCAAGAAAGCGAAAGATATGTGTTAGATATTTCCCCCTGCTGACAGGCTGCAAGAGGTTTCCACCCAGGTCCTTTCTTCCAGTGGGAACAGAGGTTGAATCTCATTGGCTAAGAGGTCTGGCAGATCCCCTTAAAAGGGGATCAGCCCATTCCTCAGCCGGATGTTTACTTGACTTGCAATAAAGAGCTGTTGTTTACCGAAGCCTTTTGTCAATATGTATTTTATTATTTCCATAAGGTTGCCTAGTGATTCATAAAAGCAGCAGTTTTTCACAATCCACTAGGCTATAACAGGGTTGGTTCAGCTGTGGTACAATGTGTTATTTGAACCAAGTCAGTGTAGCTTTTTTCCTCTCCAAATTGTTTTGTTTTGGTTGAGCATCCTTTGCTTTTCACTAGTTATAAATAATATTTTCTCCTTAATAGCTTCATTTGGCTAGGATGTTCCTTTCTGAAAAAAAAAAGTTTGATCAGGAAATCTTGGCTTTTTTCCTTTTCCTTTTCTCTTCCTGGAGTCTTCCCTGACTGCTTTTTAAGACCAAAGTGTAAATCATCTCATTTGTTTAACTTTGGAGCTAATGCTGTTGAGCCTTAAAACTCTGACAGGAAATCATTTGGAACTTTAGCCTTTCACAGTTTTCTGAATCCCGTTACCTGCCTTTCATTTGCGATTACAATAATTGCTTCTTATTTAAACGTCCCATGAGCTAAGAAATGGAAGCTTTATGTTACCACTGCCGATTTCTTGCCACTATTCCCAATTTTTTTGGAAGAGAAGTACATGCCTCAATTTCTTTTTTTAAAGAAAGCAATCCTGTTCTCGTACATTTTGTGCAATGTATTTTTTTTTTTGCTAGTACAGAACTGTAGATCGCTGTCCAATCTGCCCAGTTAACATTTTTATACCAGATTTTTCAAAGACAAATTGTTAATCCTACTTATGAAAGAGGCATCAAAAATGTACCCTCCTCAGGGTTTTTCTCTCATGCTCTGAACAGATACTGCTGCATGTGCATTAACTCTTTATCTTACCAGGAAAGAGACACATTAAAGTTAATTCTGATATGAAAAAGCGATATAAGCAATAACCATAAGAGTAGCTGAGGTGGTAATTTTCCCAACCACTGTAGTTAAGAAGTCTCCATAGATTAATACTTTTTATTCAGGTCAATAAAATTAATGAGTTAAAATATTGTTCTTTAAGTCAACTGTTGAAGCAACAAGTCATCATTTCAGCTATAATTTTATTCTGTCCTTCACAAGATGTGCACAATATTTGATGTTTATTACTAAAGTTATAAAACAGACTTATTTAATTAAATATTAGATTTACATACTGTCTTGCCTCCAATTTATGTAGGTAAAATCCCATTTCCCCATAACAATCCTATGAGATAGGTTGGCTGACAGAATAATTAACTCAAAGAAGTCTGGTAAGTTTCAATGACTAATACTGGATTTAAACAAGGGGTTTAAACCAACACTATTTATTTCTTTTGTGTAGGGTAATTTTCACCCAAAGGCACCCAAAATAATATATACAGTAGAAGATTAAAAAGAATCACCAATCAATCACTAATAAGCAATCCTAAAAGCAATAAAAATGCAAATTATTTTATCCAAATTAAGGCAATCTGACCCTGACAGGTGTCAATCTATGCCTGGAAGGACACATATGTCTTTAGTTGTCAGTAAAACCCTACTAGCTCATCTTCCCTCAGGAAAAAGTTTAAAAATTGAAGAATGTTACCAAGGACTTCTATCACCCTCCTATGAGCTAAACTCATTAGTGAAATCCTGAGTTAGGCCTCCTAAACTCATTTTGGTACATGGGCAGCTGGAATAAATCTTTATCATGTCAACACCTTAAATTGGACCTATTAGCACATACGGAAACACTGAAGCTCTTTCAGGATTGATTATGTGTGATCCTTTTAAAGCACCCCACCTAATTGGCTTCTGGATCATCCTCATGAGTACTTTTATGTAAGATACATTACAGTAATCCAGGTACTACGAAGCTATTGGATCAATGAAATAATTTGATTCTTGTCCCCTTTGTCAAAGGGACAAAGAAAATCAAACACATCATAAAACCTGACCTTTCAAACTTTTATAGTGATGTCAGATACGAATGTGTAAATATGGAGTTTGTGATTTGTGTTGTAACATCGCAATACACATTTCATCTCTTCCCATTCCCCATAGCCAAATTGGAGCATGGGGTTGGACTAGAAGACCTCCAAGGTCCCTTCCAACTCTGTTGTTCTGTTCCTGATCCATTTACTTGGCATGCAATGTTCATTTTCTTTCTATTTTGAAATACTTCAGGAGACTAACTTCCACTAAAATCACTGCTTTCAAAAATGACGTGTTTAAAATAATTGAAGTTAACTGAAAAAGCTAATATTTTAAATCCATCCAGGTTTGAATTCTGCCTTGTACACTTTTATCTAACCTAGAATTTGGATTGAAATTTCTCTGTAGTTTTCAAAGATATCCCTAAAATCAATAAGAAGCTATGATATTCTGGAATATGAGCTTATGAGATGTGAATGAACATTTCATTCATGCCAGTTTATTTTGCATTGTGGATGAATTTGTTTTGCTGTTGATCAGCTACCAGATGTATCCAGAAGTCCAAGAGCTTCACTAATCCAATTTTAATAAAAAATGATTAGTCCATGCTTTCAGGCATAGCTTTATTCTGGAAAAAAAATTAGCCCTCAAATTATAAATTAGAACTTTCTGTTTATGTAATGAAAGTTACCAATTGTGCTTTGAGTACTTACAAGGAGATCAAAGGAAATGTACTGAGTCATTCTGTAATTTTATGATTGATATCCATTTTATCTTCCTTTGACCCTTTTAAAGTGTGAATAACAGTGTTTGCTAGTTATACATAATTATTCTGGAACAGAAGATGCTAGGGCCAAAGTTTTAGTGGGTCTTTAAATCCTGATTCTATGGACTGTTTATTATTGCAAAGACCAATAAAGTAGACATGCTCAGAAGCATATAATTTATTATTATATGGATGATTTGAAACTCTATGGAAAGTCAGAAATAGAAATCCAATCATTGACAAACACAGTCCGAGTATTCAGCACCGATATTTCAATGCAGTTTGGCATGGAAAAAATGTGCCACTGTATCCATAAAAAGGGGCAAAATCACTGCATCTGAGGGAATTGAAATGCCCAATGGCCAAGTAATTAAATGCATCTATAATTAAAAAAGGAA